TTCTTACTCCGTGGGTCCCATATTTATCTCTCTCTTTCCGATTGTGACTGATGATAAAGCAATTTGAATCCTGATCATATTACATTAAAACTACATTAAATAAAATTTATATATTCAGAAAATACATTAAAACCGTTATAAAGACTGCTCAAGAGAATTTAAATTTGATAAAAATTTGATATATAAAATAAGAGATTAAAAGTAATTTGAGTTCATCATGTGAATAGTAAATGAGAAGATAATTCTGTAACGGAGAGAGTATTATGCTTATCAAATACTTACCCCCAATTAAATTAAAATTTGAGAATTTTGATTTGGAGGGACCATAAAATTAAATTAAACTTGACTTAAACTTGATTAGGATCCACCCAAGTCAAACACAAACTATATATAAACTCGACTTAAAATACTCAAACTACTCGATTTTGAGTTAATGTTGATTACATTCATAAATGTGATATTACATATGTGAGAATTATTCAGGTCCGGCCAGGCCAGACCACTCCCCTGTCCGGCCACCTCAATTTGAGGTGGTTCTCGATGGTATTTTTTGTCCAAATTTTTTTGTATGTTACTCATCAAGTCTAGTTCATCCATACCAAATTTGAGCAAAAAATTCAATCGGTAAGGTTGTCAAATGATTTTTGCAAGTTCACTGCGTTTTATATGTATATTCCGGACCAGTTAACTTGCAAAAATCATTTGACGACCTTCCCGATTGAATTTTTTGCTCAAATTTGCTATGGATGAACTAGACTTGATGAGGAACATACACAAAAAAGTTTGGGCAAAAAATATCACCGGGAACCACCTCAAATTGAGGTGGACGGACGAGCCTCCTGTCTGGCCAAAAGGACTCTTACATATGTATCCATATTATGTGTCTATACATAAAAGTTATAATTATCTTGTACTGAAAATATACTAAAGATTCACATGTTATTTAATGTTTTAGGTAATATTCTAAAAGTGTTATGCAAACTTTATGCATTCTTAGACAAAGTTCAAGCATAATTAAGGAGGATTAATCGTCAAAGAAGGTCTCAATGTCTGAGAGACAGCAACTGTGCGGAGAATTTTAAAAATGTTCATTTTTAATAGTAATTGTCCCATAGAGGACTAAAAGAGGGTCGTTGTCATCATAATTATCATTACCCGGTGTTGCAAAGACTCCCACCTATGATGAGGTAATGAGAGCCGGATGTACGCACTCTTATTCCTTTTACAGAGTGATTGTTTCTGGATGACTCAAATTGCATGGATTGAATGCTACTTCATAACAAAGAAGTCAGACAGCTTAGTGAACCGTTTTGCTTTATTCCATCATATTCTTAAAGCAAAAAATAGTGAACCTTTGTTTTCATTGCAAATAATGGAACAAGTAGACAAGGGTAAAATGCAAAAAAAAATGTGTTTTTCCCTTTAATAGGACCAACTTAGTTCGGTTTGGTACTTCTATTTCATATTTATGATTTGGGAAATTTACCGGGATATGACTGAAACTCAACGAGTTTCTCAATCTATGACCTAACTAATTTTTATACCTTTGTATGACCGAAAATCCAAAAACAAATAGAAAATTCGTTTATATTTAAATGTTGAATGACAAAAATACCCTTATTTAATATATGTGCATTTTTCACTAATTTTGTCCAATTAAAATTATTTCACTTTATATTGCCGTTAATGCACAAAATTAATGCACGTCTTTACTGCACATCCGGTAATAATCACTGCACTTCCGCAAAATTAATTCTCTTCTCATTCACTTGAGGAATTTGTTTTTTTTTTGTTTTTTTGTTTTTTTTAGTTTTTATAATTTTATTATTTTACGTCTCATTAAGTATATTGTATTTCATGGTGAAATTACTGTTATGTTTTACTGCACTATCGATCATAATCACTACACAATAAACTTCAGCATTCATTTACTGACATGTATAACATATATATTGTCATATTCACGATCACGTTCACTGCCAATGTCCAATGCTTATATTTAATGCCCACAAACCCTAAATTCACCCACAATATTCAACAATATCTATTATGATTTCACTAGCCATATTCATTGCGCATATTTAATGTCCACAAACCCTAATTTTAGACTCCTAATTTCAAAAATAGAAAAGCAAAAATGTGAATATATGGAGGGCCACCTAGTAGCAAATCTAAAGCAGTGGCCAACTACGTGTCTAACAAAAATCTAAAAATCAATCTTCAAGCTTCACATAACAGGCCCATTATAATAACAAGCCCATCTCCAATAATAACATGACCTACATACGCGGCACTCCCCCTCCTTGTTAGGTTTTTGGCAAACATCCAATGTTTAAGGTGGCGCATGGGACAAAGGCGATTGGCTTGGCGGCTGGCTGGGCAGCAGATCGCATGGACCGGGATGTGGTGGCGCGCATAGATCGGTACGACGGCGGCGACCTTGTCTAGGGATGGCGGCGGCGACCTTGTCTAGGGACGGAGGCGGCGCACTTGTCTAGGGACGACGGCGGGGGCTGGTGGCTTCGGTCTGGGCGGTGGCTGCATGCGGCGAGGAGGCATGGGGCTAGGGTGGCCGGACAATCAAGCAACTGGCTGCAGCTATCGTTCTCTTAGACGACGGCGGACGGCGGCCAATGGGGCAGCGGCAGATGGCGGGGCATGGGGCGGCGGCAGTAGCGTGCGGTTGCGGGTGGATCTATGGAGGGGTGAGAATGGAGGCTAGGGTTGAAGAAAATAGTAGGATATTAGGGTTTTATAGATATAATCTAAAGGGTATATGTGCCCACATAAATTATTTATTTATTTATTAATTAAGAATTTTAATTGAATATTATGATTTTTAATATTATTTTAGTAAAAAAACTAGTTATGTCATATATTGAGAAAGTGAGAAAGTTTTAGTCATATCTAGGATAATTATCTCTTATGATTTCTGATTTTTTTTTAGTATTTATGAAATTACGATTTTCCGGATTTTCTGATGATGGCTTCAGATTTTACAAGGTTTGTGGTACAAATATGAAAAAAAAAACTTTTGATCCCATGACTATTATGTCACTTTCACATTTCTCTCTTGATTTTCATTTTAACTACATTTAGTCTGTGACCTTGTTCCCTTCACCACATGTCGTCCTTCCGACCACAACTCCGGCACATTCTAACCGGAAAACTATTTACGGAGAAATATTAGAGGCATTTCAGTAAATGCATGTTGTTAAAACGGCTACCTTCTAAATTAACTTGACTTAATGCGTATTTTTTAATAACTTAACTTTAACATTTTGAACTAATATATTTCTCCGTAAATGCCTTTCCGGTTAAAATGTACCGGAGTTGTGGTCGGAAGAACGACGGGTGGTGAAGGGGAAAAGGTCACGGTCTAAATGTGACTAAAATGAAAGTCAAAGGAGAAATGTGGAAGTGACATAATAGTCATGGGACCAAAAGTTGAACTTTTTCCACAAATATGTACATGGACAATCGTATTGTGGGAAAACGTTGTTGGGTAAATAAATTTCTCTGATTTTGTCATTAGCTTTGTATTTCTAATTTTCGATTGTGTTAAAGTGCTTATCCCGATACTTTTTTTTTGAATATGTGGTTATTCACTTCATATTTCTGCCAAATTTATGACAATTTTGTGTTAATATTCCAAAATAATTCTGCCAATTTTGTGGCAAATTTGAAAATTGTTGTTCATGGTAGATTTGAAATTAATCTCCAGGGGTAAATCTACCAACTTAGTGGCAGATTTCTGGTGCTAGAGTTGTGACGGGGGCGATAGTGCTTGGAGAATAGTGGCAGCGATGGTCGATGGCGGCATCGATGGATGGCAACATGATTGTGGGAGGCGGCGGCAGGTGACGATGGAGTAGGTAGGCGGCATGTGTCTCACACACAAACAAGAGACTCCGTTTGGAATCAGCGGATCCCTCTTCTGCCTAAAGCCACTACTCAACACACTCAACATTAATGGAATGGTCATGTGACTCACATGTCACCACGACTAGGGGTGTGCACCGGTTCAAAACCAGACCAGACCGAATATATTTCAGTTTTTATCCGAAACCGAACTGGTTGAACCGGTTCAAAACCGGAACTCGGTCGGAAGAACCATTTTTAAAATTATTAATTTAATTTACTAAAAAAACTAATCTGTTTAATATACAAATGAGGTATCTTTTACAAATAATATTACCATTACTATTATTTATTTATTAGTCACAGAGAGCAAAGATTGAAGCAATTTGAGTGTAGAATAGTAAATATTAGTTAATTCTATTATCAAGAAAATAAGAATAAATAGATGAATAAAACATTATGACAATATATATTGCATATTAAAAAGATTACTATATATATTTTTATCACAATTGTTATTTTTATATAGGTAAACCAGTTTAATCCGGTTCAAACCCTCACAATCCGGTTTTTTACCGGAACCGGACTGAAAGCCGAATTTACGATATTCAAAAACAAAAAATGGGACTAGATATCATTTCAGATCGATCCGATTCCTGATTTTCCGATTGGTCCGGTTTTTCAATTTGAACCGGTTTGTGCACACCTCTAACCACCACGCTTGTCGAAGGCCCGCGCGTGTAGATTAACCACATGTGTATAGCACATTTAATCTACTTTTATTTATTGCTGTTATATATACTCCTGGTGGGGTAATTCTAAGTCTTCGAAAAGTTACTAACAATGGCCACTTTCTCTCTCTAAAATTTAACATTGTTTTCTCTCCGGAATGGCGGAATACCACTTGTTGTACCGGGTATATCTATCAACTAGACAATTACTTATAAAATTCTTTGTCATTTCCAAATAATATGCATATCACTTTGGGTCTTATATATATATATATATACTAGCGGTAGCACGCGCTACGCGCGAGGGTGGATGCCCAACGGTAGAACAAGGGTGGGAGGAAATGCAGAATACGGAGAAAAGGGTAAAGGGAGACATAATAGATTAAAAGTTTAGTGCAGTTAAAGGAGTGCAGTTTTAAAACATAGGGAACAAGCAGCAATAAATGAGGAAAAGATAAGGAACAAGCAAAATGACATGAGGGAAAAAAAGGTTGCAGTGGATCAAGCATGGTCAGCAACGTTGGTGTACGCCAAGCTGCGAATCTCGTACTCGTGTTTCTCACGGGGTGGCTCTTCTATTCCGCATGTTGAAATGGCAAGGAGGCAAAGTCTGCCCCGATCATTCTTAAAGAAAGCCAGACTGGAAGTTTGGTTGATGTGAAAAGCCATGCGAATTTCTTGCAAAAGATCCATTTCCACGCCCAAGAAATGCTCTGGTTCAGTCCCATGTTCAATGAGTATCCTTCCGCGTTTATCGCAGCACTGGTTCAAAAATACAACACATGTCGCCTGCAATAAATGACAAAACGTATGTATGAGTTGATGGTTGCAATTGCAAATGAAACTGAATAGGCAAAAGGGATTACCTCTGCAATTTTCCCGGGCATGTATAGAAACGAAGCAGCCCGAAATAGCTGTCTGTATGAGCAGTTTGGCATAGCAGATTCTACATACACTGGGAAATGGTCTGTGAGGCATGGAAAATAGAATTGTTGAGACATGGTTAACCGGGGTCGGATAGATTATAAAAAAATAATTGGTAAAGAACAAACCTCCGGGCAGTACAAGGTCATACTCAAGAGGAGGTGGTGTACCCAAGTTGAGAGAGAAACCTTCAGTGTCAAATAGTAAGACTTCAAAAGTGAAATTCCCGATGTGGCGGAGCAGGACAGAGCTAAGAAAGAATGAAGTAACTAACAAGAATATGTTGATTTTTTTTATCAAAGAGCTAAGAAAATAGATGATTCCTTAAGCAAGGAACTTGTATTGTTTTTACTGAACCACATAAAATTTTATTGAACGCCATATCTGAAGTATAAGAAATGGCTAAGAATTTAAAAGAACCGTATAGATAATGAATAAAAACAACGAATATGTAATGAATAAGTGGGAACTTTTAACAGTATTAATATAACTCTGACTTTACAAAAGTGTATGTTAGCTTATTTGAATTTTTTTTTAATAAGATTTTAGAAGGTATTATAAAATAAAAATAGTAAAATAAATTGGAACAAATCATAATTTCACATAACAGAGGCAGGGTGGGTAATCATAGTAGTGTGTGTCTAAATTAGAGATAGCCAGAAAAAGCAATCAAGAGTGGACCTAGGAGCATAAAAGAGAAGACCTGTTAATAGTTAAGTAGTGTTTTTGGAAAAGATAGCAATTGTGTTTGACTATATAATACTCGGACATGGAAATAATGTGTGATGCCCATGTGCTAATTGCCTAATCTTGTTATGGAACAGGAACAATTGATGATCGGCAAGAGTTCAACACGAAAAAAAAAGAACCAGGGCGGACCTCTAATTTGGAGCGTGAAGTCGATATATTTAGATATACAAGCAGTTATGTAGTTCTGTTCCCGAGTGAATCTTAAGAGGGCATTTGGTGGGTGTAATCAACCTTGTATGGAATGCGTGACCCTAAAAAAAATTGCACATAAGTAGCAAAACATAGGGTAAACAAGAAGAAAGCAAGAGAAGAGGGCGTTACAACTAAGCGTAAGTTGGAAAAATTGTAAGACAAAAAATGGTAATAGGATTTGTAAATAATCAAGAGACGGTGACATTAATTATATACACAACCTGAAAATAGCAGGTATTGATGTGGCATCGAATGATGTTTGATGTGTGTGTAGAATGATCTTGCTGAAAGTTGGGATGTTTGGTACGTCGCTGCATGAAACATCATTGAAAAATACAGACTATCCAAATACATGAATTTGAAATATAAACATAGGCTTATATACATTCCCAACAACAGAGGCATCAAAGTTTAGTTGACATTTACAAGGTCTTCTGCATAATAAAACTAAGGCAAAAATATTGAACGCAGAAGGAAGTGAGGGATGCAGATAGCAGCACAATTAAACAGTAAGCGAGGTTTCACAAGTACAACTACCCCCTGTTAATTGTACGTGACTGTGTCAGGTAAAAAAGGGGTGTTTTGGAAGAATGCAAGCGATGCACCACTACATGAATATAGCTTCATTAGATGATTGCATTGACGACCCCTGTGATAGAAAAAAAACGTGAACACACCACGCATCAGGTGGTACTATTTTTCTGTATTTTTGAGCGCAGGTTTGGTGGTGACAGGTCAGCAACAATGTCTGACTGTTCAGCAGCTTTGGATGATGAAGATGTGTCTGGAGTAGGTATCGTATCAAGGGATTCAAAACTGAGACGTCTTTTCAAAGGTGGTGATATGGAAGTTTCAGTTTCTGGCTGAATAGGAACATGAGGTGGGGAGGCTGGGTAAGTTTCTTCAACCAGAGTCACACATATAACGGTATATGGGTTGCTAAGAAGGCCCTCTTCGTTTGTTTTGGAGCGCTTCAAGCCGGATACAACAGTGATGTGTGGCAGTTTTTCACCAAGTTTTTCTAAGTCTATGTCATCCGCGGGATCCATCTTGGCCATTTTCAAGAGTTGCACAACATCGCTTGTGAAAAGGGTGACAGAGATTGTGCTGGTTTCATCCTTAAGTGAGGCACTGAGTCTGAACCTGTATGAATACAAAATGTCTGAGCAAAAGGGAAAAATGAAGAAATAGTAGTCTGTCAATTGATGTACATACCTTTTAACAGTAGTGCCATGTTTTTGGCCACAGAATAAACACTGGAAGTCTATTCCTTCTGCTCCATGGACTCTGCGGTTACAGTAATCGCACCCAATGTAGAAGCCTTCATCAAAAGTGTTGGTCAAGTGGAACTGGCCAATAACCCATACAACAGGTTCCTGTGTAGGGCAGAAAAGCAATATATAATGTTTGGGGGGAGTGGCAGAAGGGGGAGAATAATGAATGAGTGTTCATCGTTACGGATTACCTCAGTTAGTGCAGTTTCAAGACTTGCAAGAGCAGTTAATGGCTGGGAAAGAGGTTTGGCAATCGTTGTAAGAGCGTCATCGTATGTCTTTGCAGCAAGTATTTCATTGATCCGGTGTTTGTTTTCAGTAACCCTGCCAGAACACAAAAGAAAAAACAAGAATTCAAATTTGATTTTATTCTATTTCAGACACTTGAGTGAATATATTGTGTGGAAAATGTAGAGTCACCATTTCTTTAATCTCAAAGCACGTTCACCATCAGGATTGAGTTCAACGTGGCAATCAAAACGAGTTGAAAGAGTCAAACCTGAGTATTGTAGAGGTAGTAGGAAAATAGACAATTAAAGCAAATATGTTTATTAGTAACCCTACTATGTATTGCAGAGCACAATGAAGTGTGTATTATCTAGGATATGTAAAAACCATATATTTCACCGCTGGAATTGGACTTAAATAAGGTTTGTTTGACCCAATAGATAGTATTTACAATTATATGCATTATTCCTCAGTACTCAGTTCAGTTATTTAAGTTGTTTAAATTGCCCCGGTATGCAGAAATATTAGGTTATCTGACACCTCAGAGGTTGGGCTGTATATCGGATGAAACCACTGTAACCGTAAAGTTAAGTTAAATTAGGGGAATGAGTTTGAACGCTTGTATATTATGTGAAAAGGTCATCTTTCGCGATCACCCCATCAAAATGTATTTTATAGTATGTGAATTGTGGAATTATACCATGTAGTTTGACCTGTTTTTCCTGTCAGCTGATTAGCTATGTTTGCTCTTTAAGCGGAAATAAATCATTTATTATATTTATTTTAATGCTCATTTGCCTCTGTTCGCTGTTACAGTGCCCTTCTTGGTTATTTTTTGTTTGTATCAGAACATACTTCACTTAATAAAAGAACGTAATTCTGGAAACAATTAACGTATTTTTAAGTGACAATATTGTAAAAATTTAAAAAGAAGGAAAAAGGTGGCATAGTGCATCAAAGGCAACAAATGTAATGTCATAACCTTGGAAAAGGTTCACGGCAGCCCTGTTGATCAGTACCAGAGGGAAATCCCCAGCTTGAAGAAACTTGTCAATTGCACCCCCATGCCGGGTGATAAAATCTTCCCACAGTGTGAACGGTATCGCAATGCACCTATTAAAACGAAATGGGGATGGGGATGAAATTAGGTAGTGTGACGGGAGGACGAGTATACATGCAAGGAAAGAAAATAAAATAAAATCATACTGTGAATCAAGAAGGACTACATCCCATGCTGGTTTTTGAGTGTCATTAGAGAACACAAAGGTGCGCGGTAGTTTTTTGACAATTGCAGCCAACACATCTGTAGGAATTTTTTTTACATTTACAATGGGGTTTTATAAATTGCAAAGCACGATTACACAGATATATGGGCATAGGGGAAAAAAACTCACTGATTCGTTCATCGTGCATATAGGCGCCATATATGTCAGCAAAGGGGGTGGTATCTGCTTCCGCCTGCTCGCGAAAGTTCTGGCCTCCACCGGCAACAACATCTTGGATCAAAGTACGTCGGGTAAAAGACCAAACATATGGGTAGTCACTGTCAACACAAAAGCGCATGTTGGTGACTGGTTTTACGTACGCATTAGACACAAGATAGGTCGAATATAACGCAAGGCGCTGGTCTATCACTTCAATGTCCCCCTGAAATGCAGTCGCCTGCACTTTGTGCCCCTATAAAAAGCAAAAAAAAAATTCATAATTACATGGGTAGATATAGAGTAGGAAACAGCTAATTGTAAATAAGTTTGAAGAAAACATACAGCATAATCCATGAGCGTCATCGGCATAAATTTTATGGGGGAAGACTTCGCAGTCCGCACGTTCTGCTTTTCAACAACTGTAACTCGGCAAGTCCACGGTCGAGTTTCTGGCATGATAGCCACGATTGGTAGTTCCCCTGCCATTTTTTTTCCTTATGATTCACTGCATTCGTGAAGATAGTACATCAAAGTATGACATGAGAGAAAAATAAATATCATTAAAGACAATATTAAAGCATAGTATCAATAAGCAAAACCTAGTTAATGAAAGGTAATATTTCGTCAAACACCACATTGGGTGTTGTGTGAGCAAGCGACAGGTTGGGAACATCAGGACAAATGATGATCTTAATTGAATCTGCATTGCGAGCCCTTGACATTGCAACATAAAGCTGCCCATGAGAAAAAACAGGTTCTTTTAAGTATATGCCAACAAAGTCAAGCGTTTGCCCTTGGGATTTGTTAATTGTCATTGCGAAACAAAGCTTTACAGGGAACTGAGTGCGTTTAAATGGTATATGGCACTTCTCATCTCTTGAAACCTCTAGCGGGATTTTAGGGATGAACACATGTTTCCCCTTGTGGTCGCCTGCAGCTATATAACAACTCAGGATGTGGTCTCCGAAGGAATCACAAATTAAACGGGTTCCATTGCACAAGCCTTCACATGGATTGAGATTACGAAGTAACATTATTGGGCAATTACGTTTGAGATTCAATTTATGCGGAGGCAGACCAGCGGGGGATAAAGTATGTAAATAATCTTGACAGTGTGTGTTCTTTAAGTCGAGAGGTACATCATAGCTAAGGAAAGTGTGATCTTCGCCAGGGAATTTCTGAAGCAAAGATGAATTGATAAAATCCACGATCTCATTTTTTGTTGTCAGTATGACGCGAGACACAAGTGCGTAGGGGTCACTTTCAAACAAACACAGGTCTGGGTAAACGGTGGAAAATAGCAAGTCTAGTGAAACAGTTTCGTTTTCCCAGGGAAGCAGAAAATTGGGGGGGATTTTAATCCTGCCTGCAGAGACTGTCAGTTCAGTTCCATTGCCAATGCGTAGCAGGTAAGCGCAAAATCCAGGGTCTTCATGTGCACGCATATTCTGAACAAGCCGTAATCTTTGAACATGTGGCCATATTGTTATTGATCTGAGTAGGCAAGCATCTATGAAGTCATGTCTAGTGCCCGAGCGCACAACTGGCAATGTTTGTCTGAAATCACCGCCAAACACCATTACTCGTCCCCCAAAAAGCTCATCCACACTCAGTATGTCTCGCATTGTTGTGTCTAAGCTTTCGACAAGCATGCGATTTGCCATGGATGCCTCATCCCACAGGATAAGACGCGCTTCTCTAAGAAGGCGGGCCTCAGCACTTTGTTTGCCAATATTGCAAATATTCTTTGCTTCCCCGTCAAATGGCAGTTTAAAGCGTGAGTGGGCAGTGCGTCCTCCGGGAAGAATAGATGCAGCAATACCTGAACTTGCAGTTGCAAGTGCAATCCACTTGTTTGTCCGCGTTGCAGCGAGCAAACATCTGTATACGAAGCTTTTTCCTGTTCCACCAGGACCATCAACAAAGAAAACGCCTCCTTTGCGAGCATGAACCGCTGCCATAATGGTGTCAAAGGCGACTCGTTGCTCAATATTCAATGTTGAGATGGCATTGAGGTCTGTATCACTGACAAGGATATTCACTTCCGCTAATATTTCTCGTGTATTATCCCCAGCAAAAGATTCATGCGATACAAAATCTGCCAAATGAAAAGACTCGATATCCTTACCCATATCAGTAAAGAGAGCACTTAACAATATGAATGCTGCCTTTTCAGCAAGTGCGGGAGGTTGGAATCTGGCCAGGTCCTCATACAAATGGGGCTTGTATTCCTCCCAAAGTGCACGTGGATTTGGCACATCTGAATAACACAAATGTGTGGCGAATAATCTCCGCAAACTCGATGGTAATTGGAACAAAACTGCCTCATCAAGTGATGCACGTATCACAAAATCACCTGACAATAAACCTAGGCGTTCTGCTGCAGCCCTATATGTGGCCATTGCATCGCTGCCTACACTTTTAAGGTCCACAAATGAAGTGGGACCACGCACATTGGATAACAAGAGTCGCAGATAATAGCGTTCCCCTTCCATGGGATTCACAGTCACAAGTCTGCCAATAACTTCTTTGCGTTTGCGTTGAGTCCATTGTTTACGTTGATTATTCCAAACAAAGTAATGCGGAAATTCAACATAAAGAAGGTGCAGGGATTTTGCAACATGATCAGATGCATTCATGGCAAAAAATTGTGTTAGCATTGTTTTCATAGAATCCATAGCACCTGTGATGTACGTTATGCGTTGGTTACCATAAAAGGTTAGATAATGAGCATTTTCCAAGTGGACTTGCAGTTGAAGTACGGCGGGACGCATTTGTGAGATGGGAAAACTGAATATACGCCATGCAGCTTCAGGTGCAGATACCCACCGGGCTTTCTGAAAATCAGAAATTTCATCTATTAAACCCTCCTCTCCCGACTCAGACAATGACATGCTAACTCGATCATGCCCTTTATACACATATTTGTAGATATATTTCACTGACCGAACACTTGCACACACTTCTACGTTGATGTGGCAATCAAATTTGCGTAACAAATGGCTGTTATAAGGGACAATCCAACGGTTGTCAAGTTTGTGTTTCCTCACTTCGACAGTAATTCCAGTGTCACGTCTGCGGTACGAAGGGAAGCAGTCTTCATCAAACACTGTGAGAGGGGAAAAGGTGTGTGGATATTTGCTCCTGCATTTTGGGTCTGTTGAACCGTGTGACAAAACCATGCAAGGGCACTGCGGATTGATCACACCGCAAGGTCCATGTATCATATGTTTTTTAACAAGTTGATATGTTTCAGGATCCGCAATAGGATCTGGTATTTCAGCACTAATAAGTTGGTCGCAATGGGAAGGAGTTGATATCTTACATTCCCTTGAGAGGATTAGCAAAAAATGTGCGTGGGGAAGACCTCTCTTTTGGAACTCAATGACATATGTGTGTGCAACTACCTTGCCAAATAAAGACCTGCCCACAATGTCTTTTTTGAATTCTTCTAGACGTGCGCGGAACACACGCGCAACAAGATCAGGTCGATTTTGCGCTTCATCAACATATTTCAAATGCTCTTTGATTTCAGGCCAGTTTGGGTTGCACGTAATGGTAATGAAGAGATCCGGCTTACCATATTTCTGGACCAATGCCATTGCGTCCATGTAACGACAACGCATGTCGCGGGGTCCACCAATGAATGAACCAGGCAGCATGATACGACGACCAACATCGTTGGTGTTGTGTATACCTGCGCCTACGCTGTCAACTAACCCTTGATATGTGTCACCGCGATATTCACGTTGTTTGCTTCGGTAATAATCAAGTCGCTGCGTTTCAATCTTGATATATAAATCAACTATGTATTGTTGAAAAAGACGTCCAGAATGAACGACAAATGACGTGTTCCCATGGCGTAACTGCAATTTATATGCATAATACTGGCGACAAGAAACTGACTGGCCTTTATTGGCATCAGTAAGCAAATGCTCCTCCCCCGCTATCAATGACTCATCCGTCGCAAAATTGTTGCAATTAATGGTACACGAGGAGGAAGGTGCTGAACCATCTTGCAGAACGTTAATATTTCCTTTGGGAATTCCCTCGTGCCACCCTACTTCTCCACGAGGGAACAAAAGCGGATATTGGAGCGGGTCATAACATCCATAGTAATAATGGATACTTTGAGACCTTCCACTGTGGGCGTATACACGTATGTTTCTGTTAGAAGCCACACCATCATTTCCATCCTCTATCCAGACCGCGGCGACCTGAGATGATGTTGGACGATTATAAACGCGCTGATCAAGCTTAGGATTTCCGTTGAGGACAATGGAAAATTCATCTGATTTGTCAAGCTCATTCAACGTTTTAAAAAATTGCGCATATGGGTTTGCAGACATTACTTCCATCAGTAATTGGACTATATCTTTGTCCAACCGATCCGTTGCCTCCAGTCTGCTACCAAGTGCGTAATCTGTGTCGTAGAAATATAATTGAAGATTCCGAGGAGGACAACCATCGGGGAGCAAGCTATCAATGAAGTGATATATTTGGCCCTGAACCTTAAACGTGTATATCCCTTGGTTTCTACGGCATAGGTTTTTGTCGTAATTGTAGATGCCGATGGATGTGAAAGCAAATGTGTTGTTATATGTGCGCACACATGATCGAAAGTGTTTTGATAAAGGATCATGGGCAGTAAATAAGCGAACAAGCTGTTCAGGCATTTCAGTTGAGATTAACACAACCTCACCCTTGCTGCAACACATGCCTGCAGACTCATATTGGAAGCGTTCAGCACCACAGAATAAGCAATCAGGAATACGTTGAAGGTGGTACCCATTATTGGCATAAGGCAGGGTACTGCTCGACTGCCCTGCAGATGACTGCAGTGAAACCAGTGCTGGCATTTTCACAGAAGTTAACATGTGCCGAGGAACACGAACATTCCAAAGGCAAACAGAAACGTCAAAAATCAGAAACATGTGCACACATGTGAGGAGCACGCACGACACCAAGTGGATGCAAAGACCACAACACCAAAAAAGTGGGTATATCAGACATATACACGGCATGTGGGCATTTTTTTGGGCAATCAGGCAGGGCGCAACGAATAGAGCGTTCAATAGATATGGTGGCCAGGGAAAAAATAATATTTCAAGGGCACATGGAAACATCAATAGGTAAAGGTAAACAGATGATTGATGACAGGATGGGCAAGGTTCGAAGAAAGGGGAAATTTGAAGAGAAACAATAAACAACAAGTTAGACCGAATCACAACCAGATGGTGAACAACATTATAAATAAAGATGCGCGCATATACGGGAACAAACCATGGGTAGAAGTGGAAGCAGAGCGGCCACTACTGCCTGCTTTCCTCTGATTGTATGTCAGGCGTCGGCGTTTCAGAAGAGCTTCATGTCTCTCTTCTTCAGACAACTGGCGGTTTGATCCCCTAGGACGCCCCATACCCGCTACGGTAATGAAACACATAGGTTCAAACACTATTGAACCGCAGGCTTATCAAGACTAAAACACTACTGATCCCCTAGGATGCAGTGGTGAGTGGTGTGCAAAACGCATCACCGGCAACGCAATTATACTGTTTATACGTGGTGGTTCACTTTTCGGGCCGTCAAGAAAGGGGTAGTGTGACATAAAAAGAGTTGATACCATTCAAGACCGCGACATTAATCAGGTAATTACATTTCTTGGTTAGATGTTACAGTAAATCACTTGTTTTTTCGAGGTTTACAAAGACCATGAGGGTATTATTTGAATCATTGCACACTTGCACAGTGGATATGTGTCTATTCTATATCTTCTAAGTCAAAATTCTTACTATTTTGGTAAAACAAGTAACTGGGTCTGTGCGTTTGGCTCCAGTAAAATGTTTGTTTTTGTTTTATATTCTTAGACGCTGTTGAGTGAAATTCATGTTTTCAGTTAAATGATATATCCCACTGTATATGTTTTTCTACTTATTCATTGTCCAAAGCTTACCTAGCAATAAAGAATGTCATTTGATATTGCATATTTTTCTAATACTTATGGGATGTTGTGATATATCAAATCTTACTTTTCTATCATAGTCTATGTTTAACTATCTGGTTCTTGTTTTGTGATCTACTTTGTTATCTAGAATGCTTATTTTCATTTTCTTGCAAAACCTTCTCTATTTGTGTGGTTCAAGCTCATATCAATTATGTTTATCCCTTTCATTTACAGGAAATGCATTTAGCTTATCTTGTGTGGTTCAGAAACTTCATCAAGTGGAACAGAGAGGTTCAAAGAACCGAACAAGTCCTCAATTCTCATGTGTTCTCCGACTTCTTCAGGTATATTATAGTTTAGCATTAATAACAGAGTAGAGTGTGTTTTATGATAGTTCTATAAATATTGAACATTGTTATTTTTATATGGGTGTACTCTATTGTATATATATATTATTATATAGATTATTATTATATTTATTATATCTTTATATGTTTATTAATTCATATTATATGTATTCTATTTTTGCGTTTATATATTTACATATTTTTATTCTTTAATGTTTATATTATATTGTATATTCGATCTTTATTAAAGTATATATAAATAATACAAGTCGTGGCTGAGAGAGAATCAAAGGTGATTTACCAGTAAATGACGAAATGCTATGGTTCTTACAGAAAATTTATTTATTCAGAAGTAATTCGCGAGATACTGCACCTCTCTCTCCGAGTTTTCAGAAAAATAAAGAGTAAGAGTACAAGGAGCTTGAAGATTTGTCTCATGCATGAAAACAGTTGCTTACTTTTCTCTGTTTCGTAGCTGCTGTATTATGTCATTATAATCAGCCTTTTTGGGTATTCTGAATGCATAGCAATGAGGAAAATGAACAGATTAGAGAAGAGACAGACCTCGAGCTAAGGGCAGCCTGTTAAACCCGGAGTTAATTGAACAGTCAGCCTGTTAAGTCTAGAGCTAATTGAATAGGTCGGGATTACATTTTGTATCTATTTGGGTTGATTTGATATAAATAAATTGAATAAAGAATAGTCCCTACTCTTACAAATGCTAATGATTTTTCTAAAATATACAAAAACTTGTGATTGACAATTAACTCCAAATGGAGGTAGGCGTGCAACAAAATAACTATGTTTTTGTGTTAGTTTTAAACATGAGTTTAAGTTCACTCTTCCTTTGATGATATTTTAAACATCATACTGTTATGTATGATGGGGGGTCAGTTCAGTAAACTGGGTTGAGGGTGCCAACGTTTGCGTGGGGAAGGGGGGGGGGGATGAGGAAAACAGTAACATACTAAATCCCACACACACATAGATAAAAAATAACTACAAAACAAAACAAATTAATATTGATGCCTGCAAATTAAATGAATGCATCATGAACACCTCGGATACACCAAACATAAAATAATTTCAAACTTAAAAGACATAACAAATCCAAATCCAGCATCTGGAAATCTCAAATACCACAGCCCACTACCAAAAAAGGGAAAATATTCAGTTTGTCAACAATTCGCACACCCACCACCCCAAAATAAAAAAATAAAAATAAAAGCAATCAGCATGATTGAGAGTAGAACAAATAAATATGGCACAAACAGGAAAGGAGGGCAAAGACAAATAATTTAGGGTAATTTACTCACAGCGATGGAAGAACAAACGCAAAGCTCACCAAGCTGAAGCAAATGAGAAAGCAAACGCCGAAGACGGAACAATGAACGGATGAAATGAAACTATGTAGCCCATCTTGTAGGAGTCAGCAAGCAGCTAAATTCACCGACCGCCCATACCTCAAGCGGTGGAATTTGGGATAATGTCAGAGATATTTTCTGGATGTCAAGCGCGTCAGAGTTTAGGATAATACGCCCGGATAATTTTCAGTTTTGCGACCCCAAACAGATGGAAGATAACGGTATCATTCCGTCAGATATCCCTTGCGCATATTTGAAGACTTCCGTCCCACTGTAGCAACGTATAATTACCCAAGATAACTACCTTAGCCCCTTTATATATATAAGGATATATATATATATATCCTTACAACAACATTTCTCAATCGATAATCAATGTTTTATTTCACCAGAATTATCACATGCCATGAGTATGGAAGTTCATCTCGATTATTGGCATATTCATTCAACATTTAATATGGTGCACAAAATATAAATTAGAAAATTCTATTACTTCATTGTTTGTTGTCATTGAGATCTTCTATAAGACGCATCTTTGACGCTAGTTTTATTAATCATCAATATGATAATACGTTACATTTTTTGAACTTTTTTATCCGCAACTAGATGCACTTATTCGAACTTCTATGAGAATAAGTTCAGTTCAGT